TAAATAAAAAATATTTACTAGAAAAATATTTTTATATTATTTATATTTATCATAAATTCACGCAAATTCCAAATATATAGAAAGTAAAACTTCTTTATTAAATTAAAGTGCTTACATGTTTCGGTTCATTTTTTGGCCTTCTTCAGAGACAATTGTATATAACATAAATAATGCAAGACCAAGGGATGTCTTATCAATGTGAATTCCCCCGCACAATCATGAATTCATGTTAATATTCTATTCATCTAATAATACAATTCCCATAAGGGGAAAAAAACAGAAAAAAAGGAAAAAAAAGAAAAATAAAGATATAAAGGTATGTCGGATTGTGATGTCTGGGAATGGATTTAAAAATTAAGTAAAAATAATTATACAAAAGGATGCTTTAATAATAAAGTTTTATTTAACTACAGAGTTCATAGCCATTGTTTTACTACTATATTCTTTTTGTTTTACAAATCAGTCTTTTGTAACATCTATATTATTTCTTTCTGTATTTGCAAGCCAATGTTTTCTTTCAATATTTCTTGGCAGGCGATGCATCGAATGTCCCGTTTTCCACGAGTTGAAACATTTCATTACACAACAGTAAGGCATTTTATGTGTTCTGTAAATGTGTATTGCATAATAAAATTCCTTTTATGATTAACTTATTGTAAAAATGTTATTATTTGCTAGGTTAGAGAGCTACTTATGCATTTTACACTTCTAACAAATGTAAAATTGACGAGTTGCAACACGATAATAATTTAACTTACTGTGTATAAGTTAATCGATTGTCCTTGTGTCCTTTAAAAGGGTATATGTATGTATACGTATGTCCACGATATCACGGTATGTATGTACTTCGAGAAAGCTGTGATCAATCCCCACCACTTACTGACGCCATTTTGAGGAGTAGTGGCCAGACTCTACCTTTAGGAACACTAGTGGATGACTGTAATACACCGGAGACTGTAATACGATCGAGGAAGAATCAGTTTCTGACATCTCATTACATTCTTTGAACGCTCAAGATCCGGTTGAACCCACTTCCGCTACCAACAAAAAGGCGAACTCTCCCCACACACCTCTGGACAAGAAGGTTACGGCTGCGATTAATAAGCGTCCTCACGATACAGAACAGACAACAGGGGAACCCCCGAGCAAGACATCTAACAATCTGCATCCTTCTCAGGCCTCTCATCCTACGCCAGGTACTATATGTAACTATTCCTCGAAGGACTCCGCCCCCTATATAGTCCTGATACAGAAGTATCTTGACAATGGCTGCGTTCAGCAGACTCAACAGTTTTGCAACCGTTTTATGATTGTTTGCTGAGATAGGACCATTCTTCTAGATCTAAAAGTATGATCCAATTAGCGCGAAGGAAACTTCCAACAGTTGCAAAACAAACGTTCTGCTGAACGCAGCCATCAGCTGCGTTCAGCAGACTCAACAGTTTTGCAACCGTTTTATGATTGTCTGCTGAGATAGGATCATTCTTCTAGATCTAAAAGTATGATCCAATTAGCGCGAAGGAAACTTCCAACAGTTGCAAAACAAACGTTCTGCTGAACGCAGCCATATTGTAGACCCCGCATTATAAGATTTGTTCGCATCGCATGCTCCAACATGTTCCAATATGCTCCTACTATAGCTCTTATTCACTCCAACGCGCTTGAGTGAGTAGGAGCAGAGAAAAGCCTGAGAGTGTGGCCATGCCCGGGATTTAGCTGCAACCTGGAGGTCGATTGTGTATCTCGAAATGAGGTGAAAATTACAAAAGTGAATAAATTCACTAGAATATTCATAATTTAATTGGGCAATAACTAGTGAATTTGCTCATTTTTGTAATTTTCACTTCAAAGTTCGCGAGGCCGACCGCCGCATTTTTGCCAGATTCTTTCATTTTAAGTGAAAACGCGTCGAATGAGCCCAATTTCATCAAAATCAGAGATGAGGCCCGTATTCTAAATAATTACCATTATTTGTATTATTTTGATTAGCAAAAGCATTGATACTTACAAACTTGAATCGCTACATGAACTTTTTTCTATCTTTTTTTTTT